TCTTTTATATTTCAACATCATGAAAATTAACGAATTTATTTTGATAGAGTAGCGGACGTACGGACGAGAACGAGCATGCATAAATAAACATTTCAATATTTTGTAAGATTAAGAAATCCATGCAAAGGGCCCACGGGCAGAAACGAATATATGTAAGAAAAATTTCAGCCTTCTATTTCAATGGAAGCTGCGAAAAGTGGGACGTATGGACGAAAATTGATCAATATAATACAATAAAGTTTTTGAAGTGCCTCTCTGACTAAACAGTTTTGTGGACTGTAATCTTCCTCTAAAGTCTTAACAGTAATGATAAAAGCATTTGTTTTGCTATCACATTAAACTGCGTCTTCGTGTAATTACGTTACAATTACGCATTCCACAAAGGACTTTGAATAACAAATATTGCTGGTAGTTGGTTAATATTATTATTCCAAAGTTTCTGTAGTATGTGAGCGTTGTTTAGACAAATGTTCCTAGCATTATATAAACGCATGTGAGAGCGAGAGAGAGAGCGAGGCAGAGAGAGAGAGAGAGAGAGAAGAAACGTAAAAACAAACTTTTACTGTTCGTAAACTTCCTCAATTATACAACTACCAATGTATAGATATTATACGTTAAAAATTTGTAGATAACTGATTAGTTAACAATAACAATAAATATGTTTAACGCGCAATGTTCTCTTTATTAGTTTGAATATAATAATTTCCGTATTAATGAGGCTTTGTATTAAATTTCTTTAAAAAAAAAAAAACAAACCTGTGTTGTTTACATATACATATGTATAATATGCAGAAAAATTATCAAAAAAAAAAAAAAAAAAAAAAAAAAAAAAAAAACAATTTAAGAAAATTGTAAATAATAACAAAATATATATCATGAGTAAACAAAAAAATAACTTATTACGTGTTGTTGTCTTATTTGCTTAGTTGGCAGTCAAGCATAGTCTCCCTTCTCTACTATGTAACATCGTGCATAAAAAAATATTTTTTCATAATATGCTGACATACTAGTGTAAATGTGCAAAAGTGGTAGGCTTCACTTGAAGATACGAACGGAAATGCAACAAAGATATCTGTCAAGGTTTCTGTGTTTTTTTTCTCTTATAAACATTTACGTTATTGTATATGATTTGTGATGAATCTCAGATACTTAGAAGATCTACTAGTTAAAAATTGAAGAAAAGTGCTGTAAATTATTTCGTTAACTAAAACATGTTTGGGCGGGATCGAAATGAAGACTTCATCATCACTTCGCGCAAGATCCACATGACTGTGTCACACATTAGATTGGAATCATTTTTGCATATAAAATGACGTATAGACGCTATGGTAATTTTACACTTGGCTTTTTATATTATTTACGAATATTTATAGCAGTCGGGAGATGTAAATAGTAGGAGCGACAGTTGGCTAATTTTTGATTATTTTTGGCAGACGTTGCCACCAAAATTTAGATATTTGTCTGCGGTATGTTAACGTGCAAAAATTTGCGCAGTATCCGAAGAACAAAAATTTGAAAACCCCCCTTATCTCTCGAACTAGCTAACTCAGCAACGAGATGTGCGTCCGTCTCTACAATCTCCGATTTTCAAGTACCACTTGAAAATAGCCCTAAATGCGAAATGACTTTGCCAATCATTCTGAATAAAAATGAGCAAAGCTTTATGGCATTTCTGGTTCATACTTCACCAGTTCCTGTCTGGTGTTGTAACAATGTTGCAAAATCTTATGGAGCTTGAAATGTTAAAGTGCTTGTAGCGAACGAAAAAGAAAAAAACAGAAAGCAAAACAAAAATTTAGTCATCACCTCTTATAACTGGAACTGGAACTTTTAATTGAAGTACTCAATAAGTTATTTAAGAAGTTTTTCAATGATTTCGATAGTCCAGCACTTGAGTTTTAATACTTTTTTTTTTTTTTAATTTTTTATTAATTTAACATATAAAGAAAAAAACAAATGAATTTATTACCCATTCCTTTGCAATGAGTATTAATTTGCGTAAACGGAAGAAGTGAAGAAGTTTCATAAATAGAATAATGTCGTCATTACATTGGGTGAACTACTTAAAGGCGATTTTTAATTTATAGATAGCTTTAAAAGGGGAAAAGCGATACTCATGCAATTACTTCAATAAGAGTTATAAGAGTGATAATTAAAAAAGAGTCGCATTATTGTTACCAAGAAACCGATTTCAAGTTTTTTAATTTGCTTTTAAAGCTTTATATCGGCCGCGCCTGTAAAAAACCTACCTTTTAAATTAACCGAACCATAACAAGCGTACGGAGTGAAACCTGGGCGCCTGGTAGGTTAAAAAAATGGATAAAAACTTTAAATAGTGTACCAATTTTGCAGGCTAGTCAAGTATATTGGGCAAGCTTCATCGTCAGATTCGTCAAATATATGCAAATGGCGAGACAAAGACTTTCCAATGCTCTATTGCGACAAGTGTGCGTTTACAAGAAAATGAATGAAACCCCCCAATGGCCCTCAGTATAGACATATTAACGCTTTATGAGCAATTGTTTATTACGCTAATGGCAACTCTAAATAAAAACCTTTCTTAGCAACAATTGGAATTGAAAATGACTGACAGATGATGTTGATGAAGTTCCCTGAAATAAGAATTTTTCTTATTTGCTTTAATACGTCTTCCCTGTTGAAACTTGTTTTTACTTTACCTTACAGGCCGAAGGAAGAGAAATTCTGTTTTTCTTCCCATTTTCTTTCAGTGTACAAACAATTGTGAGAGAATGATCTTGAAAGTGGAATTGTTGGCAGTTCTCTAATATGTTGGTTGCATTTTGTTTTTTGCTATTCCTTTGTTAATGCTTTGTGTGTTCACAAATTCGTTAAGCGGGGTACTGTTCTGTTTGTATATGTTTATATATATATATATATATATAGATATATTTGTATAGATATGTGCATATAATATGATTGTCGCATTAGACATACACAAGCATGGATGTTTTCTTTCATACACATACAGAACCAAACATATATGCGGGCACGTTTAAGTAAAGCATAAAGTCCACTTTTGTTGCTATATAAGTATTTATGGCATGCATTGCATAAAAGTGAGAAAAGAAAGAGACAAAAGTTGTAGAAAAAAAAACGGGTGACAATTTAGTTTTAATAATTTTTAGCGTTAAGCAATTTTTTTTTTTATTGAATGATTTGTTGAATGAAAGGCAAAAGTACGGCCTCAGAAAAATTCTTAAGTAAATATTTCCTGCTTTTTAGTTGAACAAGTCTCTTGATGATTACGTAACTTTCTTAAATGACCGACGAAGTAGAGGAGTTATGGCACTTATTATATTTATTCTCGCTCTCTCCTTCTCTCTCCCATTTTCTGGAAACCAAATATGTTGGAAGAATTTATAAATGAAAATATTGTATTGTAATTTCAGCTGGCAACTCCCTTTTCCCCTGATTATGCTAAGATGATCATGAGCGTTTTTCCTTATGCACATGATTACTCTGTTTGAGGAAGCAGAAAAACTTCGAATTCTTTTACTAACGTCTGCCTTTTTTGTTTTGCTGTTTTTTCTCCTTTTTTTAAATTCTTTTTTTGTTGTTTCACTAAAATCTTTATTATTCTCACGCCCAGTTTTTCAGGCTTCAAGCGTACGCTTGTATTTAGAAAAAGTTCTTTGACTTTAAAATTAACGGTTGCGCTCTGACTCTCTGATCATATCTTGCCGTACCTGCTTGTCTGGCTTTTCTTTCCACAGCCACAGGTATTTGTATCAACGAACGGCTATTATTATCTCGTAGAAAGCAACAACTTATATGTTGTTAGCATTTCTTTCTAACTTTAGTGGTAGAAGAATTTGAGTTGCTTTTTGTTATTATTATTATTATTATTACTTTTTTTTTTTTTTGTTAAACGAAGGCAAGTATACTCGTTTTATGAGTGCCTTTGCACTGACCACTGACAAATATATATACTTTTCTGACTGGACTTGTTCGTAGACTTGTTAGTCGATAGCCGCAGATTCCCTTTCTTTAGGCTTTCTAGTATTTAGGCAGCTGTATACACATATACAAAAAACCAGGTGTCTAAATTTTGCTTTATGCTGAATATTTCTGATACTTGACCGGCAAGAACGTGCCGTTTATATCTTGCAGCTGCTCTATATATGTCGTCTTGAGCGCATAAGGTTTGCTTATGTTTAATATTGTTATCCTTTTGTATTGCAATGTTTATACATAAATACATATATGCACACATACACGCACACACATAATGTATATATTGTTTATAATAAGAATATATCGTTAATTTTCTACGTATTTGAAATAAGTATGAATAAGCATTCGAGCGTGAGTCTGTTGATCAGTGGGGCAGACTGGTTATGCTGACATTGCCAGTTATAATCGCTATCAATTTTTCATTTGAACAAACTCAAAGAAAAATAAAAACCCATTAAGCGTAACTGTACTTGGCCGCATTATTAAATCAATTTTGTTGTTGCTTTTGTTTTATAAACTTCGCGTCAAAGAATAAATTGAAATTTATAGAGGGTTTGTAACGCAATAAATCCCCAGTTCAACACAAGACATAACAAACAGTTCCTGCTAGACGACGCTAATAGAGCCACAGACGAAAGGACGTCTAAGTATGATTAGATGAATTCGGTTCTGCGTTGATGTATCAAGTTCCTGGAAGAATTTCTCCAGTTTCTTACGTACAACGAATGGACGAAATTTCACAATACGTTACGATAATCTTTCGAATTTTTTCTTATTTGTACTTTGCGCGCATTATAACGGAATAATGGTTTATTGGATTAACTGGAAAGAGGTGTACAAAGAGCACTATAAAATAGTTACTTGCATAGGATTAGACGGGTTTGGGGGGAATGCCACTAGGCATTTGATGCAATCAGCAACGAAATTTAACTGTCGCCTAAGAGATCACTCGTGCCATCGACTCAAAATGAAGTAAAATTCAAATTCAATATTCCTACAATTGTGAAGAAAAAACTTATACTTACATGATTTATGCAGTTGTAAATATTAGGTGTTGGAGCTTTGGGCGGAAATATCCAACCATTTGTTGTCACACCACTGGTTCGTACAAATGTTACCGAATCGGGTTCTTCAAATATGATGCCATTATGAGGATGAAGATGATGATTATTATTGTTGTTACTATTATTGCTGATGCTATTGTTGTTGTTGTTGTTCAAATGACCATTGCCTTCTGTTAGAGCGGAAGCAATAATGCTAGGTGTTGTATTAAATAGTTGCTGCTCTTGATGATGTTGAAGATGATGTTCGTGGCCACAATTTGTACTATCCAAGCTACTAAATCGCGTTTGCAAAGTGTATTGTTGTTGGGCTTCCAAAGCAATTGGAGACGGAGATGATGATTCTTCACGCTTACGTAATTTGCTGCGAACAAGACGCATTGTCATTAAGGTACCAGTACTGCCTACCATTTTTGCTTCTTTTTTTTCCCTTTTCAAAAAATATTTCCCTTCTCTTCTTCAAGCCCAAACTCAGCAGAGCAGAGAGTAAAAGAAAAAAAAATTCCAGTTACAAAAATTTACAAGTAAAACGCTTTACTTATATTATATGCCTTTTCTGAAGAACTTGTTTTTTTTGTTTTTTTTTTTTCTGCTTCCTTTGTATGCTTCCTTTTTTTATCGTTATTGTTATTATTGCTATTATTATTATTGTTGTTGTTTTGAATGTTTATTACAAGTAAAAGGTATAAATTTGTTTAAATGATTGTTTTGCGTTTTTCACTTTTTAAGTAACCTCAAAAATAAAATATCACAATTGCTAGGCTTAAAATGCAACCCTGGGCGCTGGCTTGATATCGCTCTTCATTTCGCTTGATTGAACGAAAGTAGTGCGCGGGCAAAAATTCTAAATTGATCGCTTGGTTGCCGCACAATTTCTTTCTCACTTGACGGCAACGAGCCAATTAAAAAGGAATCAAAGGTTAGTTTGAGCACCAAATGTTCAGAAAATCGACTGACTAGAAAGAATTCCTTTTCTAATAATTGTCTATAAGTTTTTTAGTCACTTTGTTTAAGGGTATAAGAGTTTTTCTTTTCTTTTTTTTTTTATGCGCAGTGTGACCTCACTACCAACTTTTTATTTATCCTTGAATAATATTGAACGCTATTTACTAACTAATGTTTGTTCTGCAGGCGGTTTGGTTTGGTTTGGTTGCTTGTGCTGTGGTGCAGAAAAGTTTTGGATAAGCAAAGAGTTCTGAAGCGAGTAACAGCAAATTTAATATATTATCGATTGCTGCAATTGTTAACTATAAGCCACAAGATAATACATTTGTTATTATTTTTTTTTTTAATATTTTTATTAATTATAGGCGCCCTATTTTCATGGGCTAAGTTTAAGGTCTTTGCAATTCAAAAATCACTTTAATAATTAAACAAGTTTTACTTAGTTAGTTTTTCTTTTAATTTATTTTTGATTTTTCAGTGAAACTAACTTCGCGCTATAGTTCTTTCCTTTTGCGTTTAAAATATTCAATTATTAACTGACACTGAATTGTTATTATTGTTGTTGTTGTTTCCTACGTAAAGAAGTAAGTTAACTTTATTATGTTTATTTTGCAAAATGTGCTGGCGTTTAAAAAGTCAATCACAATTATTTATTAAACAAAAAATATGTATATATATATATATTTAATAATATATCACACGACGAACTACTAAACAGTTCGCTTCTGTCGCTTCTGTCTGAAATTCTGAGAGTTGTTTAGTATGGCGTTCGTCTTTTATATATAAACGCAACTTAATCGTTATAAACTCTTGTATATCATTTTGGTAAAGAGTGAGAGAGAGATAAAGAGACAGAGAGCGGGAGTAAAAGACGACCGCAAGGAGAGTAAAAAAAAATAAAAAAAATAAAAATGCTGTGACGTCATTAATATTTTATACTACACTACATACTACAGAGCACTACTTAAATAAAAGCAAAAGAATAATAATAATAAAACACGTATAAGCTGCATATGTACGCGTAAATTGAACGGAGATGAAAACAGCTGCCTAGCAACGTTTCAAAGCAAATCTTTACTTAAACCCCACCGTACATATCTATATATACAAGCTCGTAATTTCATATACCGCATATATATGCCCTTAACCCCTTCCCAAAATTGTTATGCATGCATTGAGCGTGAAGAGGAGGAGAATAAGTTATTTTCATTTTTTTTTTTTTTTGTTGTTTGCTGCAGATCGCTCACTAACTCTTATCTTATAAACGCAATTTCGAGCATGAAATAACAACAAAACTATAAAATATGTACTAAACAAATAATACAAAATGAAAAACAGATGTTTTCCGATGGACCGACCGACCGACCGACCGACCGAACTTTGCTTCTGCAGCGATTATTATTATTATTGTTTAGCAGAGACGAGAATGAGAACATAAAGAGACGGGAAGACAAGTCAGAGATCATTGTAGAAAGGAGTACAAGACTTTGCAAGTGTGCGAGCGAGCAATGCGAACAAGAGATAGCATTTTTTCTTCTTGTTTTTCTTTGTTAATTGGCTGGTAACACCAATTGTTGGCACTTTTATGGCTAGCCTGTTGATTTTTCTCTATTTATTTATTTATTTATTTATTTAAGTATAGAGTAGATATGTTCACACCCGGAACAGACGTCACAATTTAATTTTACAAGAAGAAATAGAAAATGTCATTAAAAAAGAAAGATTGTTGCCCAGCTATTATTGAGGAATTGTAAGGACATTAACCCTAGAACTGCCGACGTCTTGCTACTACTTCTATCAAAAGCTGTCATTTTGATACCCTATTTTTGTCGACTTGCCATACTCGTAGAAATAAGGGTATGAAGCTGAAGTTTTATGCAATTCTTCCCTAATCGATTTACGATCCAGTATAAAGAAATGTTTACGATCTGCCTATATAGATGTCCATCACGAATGATAAACAAACGATGATTATTTTATATTCTTGTCTATATTTATTTTCGATCCTGATATTAGATATTTTGGAAAACTTGCCAACTAAATTGTCGCAATATCCGCTTGCATATTTGACCCAAGAAAGCTACTGATCCGTTTACTAATACGCTCATAATTAATTTCAATTTATTTCCGTTTGAGTTACAGGTTTTCCGAAATATTTTCGAATGTGATCGAAAGTTATAGTAAGTACCATATTCTTTACAGATAACTCTTGAACAATGGATTTTCCAAATACTTTCACAAATGCAGAAAAGAAATTTCTTTTCATACATGTGCTTGCTTTACAACATATACATGCGTATTTTTCGCTTGCATGAGTTCTTGAATCATTTTAGTCACGCCCGTCCACCTGTACACAGACGTTAAGATAAAAAGTGGATATATCACCTTATATAGCTATGCCCCGCTTTGCACGGCAGATAGTCACCTTACAAAACCGTCTAAATCGGAAATGAATATTTTTGTATGGAAAAAAGGGTTAATCTAAAAAAAAACCCAAGACGGGTTTTTCAGTAATTTACAAAAAATAAGTTAATTATGGCGCAAAAAAATTCAATTAATACCTATGAATGAAGAAAAGATGGAAAAAAAAAACACTTATCCCAAAAAAATAAAAAAACACATTTCTTTCGAAAAAAAATTGAAAAATATTAGTAACTTCTTATTTATTTATTTATTTACTTTTTTTCTTCACAACATAGTATGTAGTGTGATCATAAATATTACGAAAATAGCGGACTAAAGCTAGATAGAAACGAGCGCTTCGGAAGTTACAATGGCCCTTTTCGAGATCAGGTCCTCCTGATGTCACCCCTATACCACCTGTGGTACGGGATATATTTAGTTAGTGCGGACGTATGTGCCACTTAGAAGCGCTTAAGAAAAACTCGCCGGTTATTATACCGATCTATTCAGAATCATTTTCTGAGGTGATCTAAACCTGTCTGTCCGTCTGAAATTTGTCTATGTAAACTTGTGTTCAAGCTGTAGATCGCAAATTTTAAGATGTTTTCATGAAATTTTGCATATAGATCTGCGTTGGCCCAAGGGCGAACGCTATTGCAGATCGTTCGGATCGGTTTAATTTTTCGACCGCTGCCCATGTAACGCCCTATTCTGAAAAGCCATTACATGGAAAACAAGTGCAATTCTCAAAATTTCTCGGCAAAAGTGGCAAAGTTATAGTATTTCGGTATTTTGGATCGGTTGAGACAATTTTTTCATATAACGAAAACTGAAGTTCATATGACAATAACATCTAATTTTTAATGCTTCATGATGAAGACCAGACAATAATAGCGATATAAAATTAAGAGTTTAGTCTTAGAATTTATTTCTCTGGCGAAATTAATAATAATAATAATAAAATAAAGAAAATGGCCTATATTAAATTTGGGCCATCTTGGCCTACTTTTTGACTTCTACCCTATATATAAGGATTTTTACGAACGTTTTTGTTTTTTAGTAATTTGAACCCTTCGGGCATAACCATTCTCACAGAAAGTAAGACTTTATTTGCAAAGTGGTCTCATTTTTAATGCGCAGTTCCATAGAGTGCGTTCCTATCAAGAAAGGGTATAATTTTTCTGTTCTACGGCAAAAGTAAGAATGTCTATGGTGTAAGGTATTTACTAGTCGGCCAATTGCAATAACATTTTCGCTTACTTTTCCTATGTAAAAGTTACTTTCGAAGGTTGCCATCAAGTTTAGTGAATGTAATGCCAAAGACAACCGTTAGCCGACAACGACGTGGCGTTTAGGATCCCGATTTCTTTAGATATAATTTAGTGAACTGAAAAAATAAGTTCAGTAAAACTAATAGTTCGGACTTTGAATGAAGACAAATGGATGAAAGAGAAAGGTATACACATGACTGAAATTGCAAGAAGAGAGAGAGAGAATTGAAAAAAGCAAGGAAGAAAAGGGACCGTTATCCGCTGTTCTTCTTTGAGAAGCCCCTGATGAAATTCTTTAATAATTGAAGCCTTTAAGCAATGTAAAATTGATTATGTGTAAGTAGCTTTCCATCGAACGCGTGAAGCAAGATTTGTACTTAGAGGAACTTCCGAAGATTCCTTTACATGATGTATTGATAGAATGCAATAACAGGCGTTTGCGAAAACGAAGTAATGTTTTTGAAAACTTGAGGCAATTTCAACGTGCTCTGCTTTTTCGTAATTGTTAGAATTTTAATTGAATTGAATAATAATTAGGCTTCGAAGAAATATGTAAGCATAACCACCAGCCAATTAAAGATTGTTAAGTAGAAAAGCGACTGAGACAATAACTCTGTCATTTCTTTTTTTATAACAGAGATGACACCGGAAAGTACTTGAAATTTGTGGGGTTTTATTTGTTTTTATTGTGAGTATTGTTATTATTATTATTGTTATTATTATTTTTTTTTTTTGTTTGCTGTCGCTTATTAATCGCAAAATGGTTGAGAAGGGGTTTTTTTAATACAATGCAAAGTAATCCATCAGCTGCCCTGTAGTAATTGCATGTACGTGTGCTTTCACTTTATTGAATATCATGCAAAACATTACTCTCTTGCTTTTCGTCAGCTGTTGAGCCGATGTTAAAGGCCGTCATAGCCTTGGTTGGGTTAAATGATAAAATTTTATAAAAGCTTTTTTCATACCACAAACACCGGGCAATAAAAAAGAATTGCGTTTAGAGTAGAAGCGGTAGAAAAGTGTATAGACGAGGGGAACTTGATGATGAATTTTAACTGCTGTGCTACACAGAATAAACTTATACACGAAAGTCCATTGACTTTTGGCATTGATGAACGCCGGTAAGAACCGACATGTACTGTACTGTAGAGGTAATTGTGTTAACACGAAAATTGCTTATGTATTGGAGTTTATTTGGGTTTATCAAACTTTAGTAAACATGTTTTTTTTTCGATTTTTTTCTTGGTTTTTTTTGTTTTTTTATCAAAATTCACCAACTGTCTCTCAAATTGACTGAAAATCTTTAAAAATGATTGCGCAGAGCCCTTCACATATATTTTATGACGACAGCCAGTAGAGATTTTCAAGTAGTCAAGACGTCAATGCTTTAGATAACGTATGTCCCAGTATGCAAAAAATTTGCTGTTAAATGCGGTTACACTTATACTACGATTCGAATATGGCCCCAAAAAACGAAAAAAATTATCAGATTGCTAGCCTTGGTTTCATTATCTTGTGGAATTCGCTTTAGAGTTTTTACTTGTTGTAGATTAAATCAAAATTTCCCCACGATATATAAAACGAATATAAAACGTGTTTATAACACAATAGACATCAAGACGTATTGTAAAAGATATTTATGGGTCATAATAACGTTTACTACATCGTATCAATTTGTTTGTTAAATGGTGTTAAAAATGGACAATACCTCAAACAATGACAAATGGGAAATTTTGTTTACACCCAGCAATGCTGTTTCTTATACTCCTTGATAACTGTCCGATAATCAGTTCACTTTCTTCTTTTTTTTTTTTTATAAGAAACTATGAAAGAAAGAATCCAGCAGTAATAAAATTACAATCGAATTGAGCCGAATTTTGGATATCTTTTAGTGCAGTAATCAGAAACGATTCAATTGATAGAAGGAGATCGATCGAGATGATCGCATCGGAATTTGTGTTAAATTCTTTTCATTCTATGATAGTTTATACAGTAAGCAAAGCTTTAGTTTTTCCTTGCTTTAATTGTTCGCAACCGCGAGGAAAGCGAGATACGAACGGATGGATGAATACAACGTGGTAAGTGGAACCAAAATGGTGCGGTCTTTTCGACCGAGAACAAAACCTTGCCGCTTCGGATATACCTTGCGTTTTTATTAATTCAGCTTTTCAGTTTGCGTTATTAAGATTTCGAGGGTTAGATGCATGCGCCGATGTCGACTCTTGCCGCTGCTCTAAGCGTTTGCGCTCTGACATCAAGCAAACACGACTGAATCGAAAAACAGGATCTATTAAACGGGTAAACGGGTTGCGTCGATTCAAATTGTAAAGCTAAACGGACATGACTATCTTGACTTGTAGTCTGACACTGATCGAGAATATGTTAATTCTTGGCCGAATAGGCGGATAAATCTCTATACTCTTCGGTGTATTATCTTAAGCAAAAATATACATACGTATATAAAGAGATCGACTCGTAACCTCGAACAGTATAGAAATATATTAACACGTGGACGAGTAGATGGACTCACTTACATCCACCAGGATTGTTATGTTAAGCAAGAACATGTTAAAGTAGCTAAGAAAATACATTTACATCCTTTTGGACAGACATCACTACACCATCTCAAAAGCCTGTGATAACTGATAACATATTTGGTTAAAGGTCACTATATAGGCTCATAATATTGCGCTGAGCAAGGTTATATAAAAAGTACACACGGTCGGCGAGACGGTGTGTAGTAATAGGATATATCTCTAGAACCTATATTGACTATGGGTTATTTAAAAGGGAGGCCTTACAAGTGGAAAACTTATTGCATGTTTTACGTGTTTGTCGAATTCAAAGAAAAAGTGACGAATTGCCAAACCCTTTCGAGGTAACTTTTTCCTCTTACTGGCATGTATTGGAAAACATTTCAAAGAAAAAGAAGGGAAGAAAGATTTTTCATTTCAAACTACAAGAAAAGAAAGTATCATGAGCTAAACATTGATTATGATTGCCTTCCATTTACCAAAAACTGATCATTACTACTGAACTGCAACAGCGACCGCAGGTTAAAAGAGTAGAAATGCGGCACGGAAAGTGCAAAAAGAAATTTTTGCTAGAGATGGAAAGAAAATTTGTGAACCTGTACCTTGGTTGATAGTTGGGAAAAGTGCATGCCTAGTGGCTAATCAATGGTTGTGATGGGTTATTGCGGGGTTGTATGCTGAAGTTCAAAGGAAATGGCCGTAATTGCGTCACATAGTAGCAACACCTAGTCGAATAATGAAGAAAATTTGGTTCTGAGGAGTTGTAAAGCAATCTTCGTACTGACTCGTCTTGATACAATCAGGCTAGCGTTTCGCATTGGCGTTGGTCTCTCTAGAACTATTGGAATGGATTTAAGAAAAGTCCTCTTGAAAACGAATGCAAGACATGAGAAATGAATTGACAATGAAATGGAAGAAGAAGTTGTGGAGGCTTGGTACTGAGAGTGGTCCAAAGTCGTTGAATATTTTTTGTTTTTCAGTAACAATGTTCCCAATATTTTGATAGCTTCATACAGATTATAGATCATAGGTGCATAGGTATGTAAATATGAAAGCGAAGAAGATACGTCTCACATTGCGCGACAAAGATAGAAAGTATTTAATTCCAAGTACTGCCCATTGCTAGCTATAGGCTCTCCTCGACTGTCTGACAATTTGTGGATGTTATACCTGCAAAGATCTTTCACTTTTCCCGCGAATCATTCAGCGAGTCGTTTTCTTCACATCATCCGGTTAACTAAAGCGTTGTTTTACTAGAACGTAATCTATCCATGCTCCTGATGCACACAAGTGGTAAAAGGAATGACTCGAGCCTGAATAGGCACTTTCCAGTTGAATGCTTTGAAAGCATTGCAAATCGGCTTTGCCATATGAGAAAGGTGCCCATGTGTTGTATTTTCTGTTACTACGCCCAGTATGTGCGCAACGAACCTTTCAGAACCCTCAGCAAGGTTTGATAACGGCCATTTCTCCTCATCTTTTAGCACACGACCGAGTATTGTGTTCTTGCCATGGCGATTCGGTTTTGCGATGGTCGTGGAAGATAAGCTAAGATCTACCCAAATTTTCTCAAAATAAATTCACTTTTCATCCCGAGCCACTGTTCCAATGTCATTACAAGTTCCGTTCTTGTATGAAACTTGGGTTGTTGTGAGATAGGAATTAGAGGAAATCGCGCCAATAGCAATGGTTTAAGAGCGACTGCATCGATGACTAGGAGCCATGCTTTACCAGCAAATTCCGCTTTCATATTTACACACATGCGGCATTGTATGAAAAGCTATTTATATGAGGATTATATGTTAATTTCTTTGAAAATTTTATTGACTTTCGTTGCGAGACTTGAGAGTTGCGCTCATCCCAGTACGGCTTAAAATCTTTAGCTGTTCTTCTTGGAAATATGCATTTTTCTCAACATTATTGTTACCGCATAATCGCTGCGGCTTGACACTTATAAATAATCCGTTATTTCATTGTAATCATTATAACTGGAATTTCTCTATTCTATTTTGCTCGATTCGCTTAAGTTTATTTAAATATTTATTACGAATTGCTTATATTAAAGTGCTTTACTTACTTAATCGTTACTGCCACTAATATAATAATAAGACCGACAAGTAACATTGCAATCACTACTCCACATACCATATAAATGGTATCGTTAGGTGCGTCTGTAATTATAGCAAAAATACACAATTATCCAGAGAGAGAGATTAAATGATGAGATAGCAATTATAATAATAGTAATAATAATAATAATAATTATAATAATAATAATAATAATAGGTATAATAAAGCGAGTAATGACATACATACATTGTACAGTACTACAGACTTATATATGCACTTCACTTTATTATATTATATATGATAAAATTTAAAAAATTGTCGAAGGAAATAGCTTCAGTGAATACGATAAGATTAATGACGGTTTTGTTACTATTCACTCGTCGTTCACCTCCCTTTGTTTGCTATATTTAACTTAATTTTGACTATGACAAAATATTTCATAAATAAACTGCAGTTAGCATTCGTTTAAAAGAAAGGAAAAAAACGACGATAAGAAACGACAGAAAAATGATAAAAAATTTCATAAATAAATTTTCTATCATTTCTCTGTCGTTTCTTATCGTCATTTTTTTCCTTGCATTTAATCGAATGCTAACTGCAGTTTATTTATTCACATTTAAATGAAATTAATAAAACACTTGACAAGTCCAGTTTACTCATTCGTCATATGTAGTCAGTCCATTTTGCAGAGAGATTTTGATAATAATTTATTTTTGTACATGAAAAGATAGCATCCCTTGGTGTAGGCATACTTCAAAAAACCCGTTATATGAATAACTGAGAATAATGATGAGCCACAGCCTGCCTTAGATCATTTACTTGTTTTGGTATTCAAAAAGATTCCAGCGGATAAAGTTGTTTAAGCCGCGCTCATGAACTTATCTATTCATTTAATACGAAACCACGAGCATAAACGAAGACAATATGTTTTGATTTTCTATCAATTTTGGTATTTCGATATTAGTTTTATTATAAAACAGGGTTGTTAAGTGCCACAAGTCCCACCGGGGAAAAAAGATCATTGTGACTTGTGATGTCTTGTTGATGTCTATGTGATGTTGTTTAGTGTACATTCTTCTGCTATTTAAAGGTAACATTGTGTGTTAATTTCCGCTTTATATAGCACAGATGATTACATGAACTGATATCGTATATAGATTTTATTTTTAAAATTTTTATTGCGGCAGACAAGAACCTGCGTTAAAATATACCAAACCACTTTCTGCACCCACCTAAGCTTGTCTATCTGCCTGCCCGTCTGTCCGCCTGACATTCTGCCACCTACAGGCCGCAATTTTTGAGACATTTTAATGAAATGTGGTACAAGGACTTATTTTGACCCACGGACGGTACTGTTAAGATCATTTTTCATCTAAGACTTTATTTTAAAAAGTCGTTGCATAAATAACTCTATTAAGATGGGTGCTGTAGGCTATTTAATGATGGGACGCGGCCAAGTATAATTTTTTAGCTTGCTTCAGTTAGCATTAGGAAAAGTGATTTGTAGCAAGCGCTTTGTAAACTTTGGGCTGTAATTATTTATCTTTTGTAGGCGGTTATAAGAGCTTTAAATGGCCTTTATAAATGTTTACATCAAGATTTTCGCCAATACTGCGATATTTTCACCAATACACGATTATACGGTACAGTTCCTTTCGGTTCAAGATTATTCATGTGTAGTATATGCAATGTTAAGGTTTTCTCTTGTCACACGAGTAACACGAACGATCAGACTCAGCCGAATACGCTACGAAACTTATTTGCGGTCATATAGGCACCGTAGAGTGTCTGGGTGTGAGAACTGAACTGGAATTGTGGAATGCAATAAATAACGTTTCTTCCTAAATGCGACTTAGGGAGAAGGCGAACGCTGCCGCTTCCCCTCTACTAGCAAAAAAAATTCTTAAATTTCCACGTAGGACGTGGTCTGGTATATCTTTCCAAGCGCTTTTACACCTATACGTGCACAGGTAACATATCTATTATTATGCTTCAAAAAATTTTAGCCCTCTTGACCTTGAGCACAACAAAAATATTTTAGGCAATTCAGGGTTTATTGAAAGTCAATTATGATGGAGTTTCTTACGGAGTTTTAATTTTCAGATGAACGCGGTCACACATTTGATCTGAACCAATGCAGCTTCATTTCGAACTTGAACTTACTCGATTAGTCGATGATAAAAATAAGATAAATTACTGGCAGCGATCTTACACAAACTCGTTGGTATGGGCATACCGTGCAATTTAGTGCTAATCAAAGATTTTCTATAAGTTATTGTTGAAAGTTAGCCAAAGATCTTTTAATCGGCGTTCTCAAAGGCCAATGACAGATAGGTAACCGGTACATTAATGCTATCATCGATTGCCTCGAAAGCAACAAAAACAAAAGCCTCCTAACGAGTGTACATACTTTTCGCTACTATCAGTGCATTCCATAGGAAGAGAAATCTAAATTTTTTAAATATTTCTGCATAATCAAGAAATTTTAACGTGAAATCAAAAAAAAAAAAAAAAAAAATGCATTCGTTTTTTATCGTTGATTAACTTAAATGAAGTGATGTACTTACGCACGAACGTCGCGCCCGCAATAAAAAGCAAAACACTTTTCACTTATTAGGCATTAAATTTTGAAAAACATATTTTGTTTAGTTTGTGAAAATCGATTTCAATTTTATTTTATTTCTTGAACAATAACTAAATGTCGGCCAAACGATAAAGAAACTAATAACACAAAGTACTAAATAATAAATTGTAAAATATTCCGATTCTTGCGTTGCGCGTAGCTAAAATTGGTAAGCTTACGTAAAACGTTCACAAAATGCATTTATAGGGAAAAGAGAAAATATTTCAAAGGCAAGATGTAAAGCAAACACCTCTCCCCCATATATCATAGGACATCGACGTGATCACATTAAAGCTTATTATCACCTCCTATTGTCACGGTTTCCAATTGTTTCCCTTGTCTACGATATGGAGCTTGCTCGTAGGACATTCTTCAGTGCTTTCCCGAGCCAGTATTCTCATTCCTCTTAATGTCTGGTCAAGAAAATCATAGGCAATCAGAAGGTAGGAGACCACCATAAACCAGAAACCATCACATCTTACATACGTAAAGATAAGGGAACACAACCAAACACACTGTGCCTCGTTTACCTTCAGGCGAGGTACACTCTTAGGCCTTATTCGACGTAAGGGAGTTGTCGATATTACAGAACGTTTTCCATCCATGTGTGCTGAGTTTTATTGAACAACATTCATTTGCAGGCCTGATGAAACGAAAGCAGTTGTCGATATTATAGGGCATTACCAGTTCATGTGTGTTGACTCTGGCCCTGTTTCGTGATCTGCACGGCAACCACTGAGTCCCAAGTCTGTTAGTTTTCTGTTTTTGACCTGCCTTGGCAAAACGGACAGTGCTGTTTCCTGGTATGTAAAGAAGTTTCTTACCATAATCGATGTATACAGCGTAGACGATCTAAATCTGTTTATGCCATATAATGCTCTCGTTGAAAACTCTTGTTAAGAATCAAGTTAAATCGAAAGACCTCTGTTTAAGAATTGATAGCTCAACGTAATTGTCCAACGATTTGATGGAACGACGTGTTCCCCCTTGTTTACCGCTGGCAGCCTGAAGCAATTTTCGGGCATGAAATTGCACTTAACTCAATTCAGCTTTAGATTTGAAGTCTCTTGATCCTTATTTGCCTTCTTCTATTATAACTTAAAGGCCTAATTCTGGCCTTTTCATGGGCATAAAAAGTACAGTTCGTTTTATTATCGATATTGCCCTTGAATTCTTCCGAAAGGAAAGCGAAAAATGGGTCTTGACGACATATTAATGATATTATTCCATATTCAACGCTTCAAAGGTATTACTAAAAAAAAAAAAGCATGAAAGCCTAATCCTCTTGAAACTCTCAAGGTCGAAAATCGACTTACAGATCTACAGAGCTTAGATTTAAAAGTAGTAGCGATACTAGGAAGTACCAGAATTCTAGGCTTCAGTATTCAAATGGTATTAAATATTCAAAAATCAATTTAGCCATGTCCGTCCATACGTCCTTTAGCAAAGTTTTTCGAAATTTTTATTTGATATAAAATATTTAACTAATTTGCAGATCATTTCATCTGCGAAGTTCTTTCGTTGTTTCGTTTTCTAAATATAGAATTGTGTGTTTTGACTACCTCTGAATTGTTCTCAAGCTCCACCCCAAAAATAAACAAATTTGGCTTTTCTCCTATCTGAAAAGGTAAAAGCGCATCAAAAATTCATTCTAATAATTTATTGCAACATTTCTCTGTTGTAAGATTTAGTTTAATTCAGACCTAACGATCTAACGTATTGTACTCCGATACATACGTATATATGTCAATCATTTTATATGCGAACAACAAGAACAACATTTAATTGCATATGTTAGCAGCGAATATATGCCAACGGCCATAAGCAGATGGATGATGATTTCTTTTCTTATAGCCGCGATACATTATCTATTTATACGCTTTAATAAAATTTATCTTTTGTCTTTTTGCGCGCGATGATCTTTGTTGGGAAAATCGCTTCAAGACGAAGCAAATGATTGCCGCTGACATTGTGTCTGGTGTATGGCTAAAAATAATGCTAAAATTATCTTTAAAGTTTTCTTTTTTTTTCACAAAAAGTCTAGCAAAACATCAACACTTCGTGTGTGTGATGTCTAGGTACAAATGAGAAGATTCGTATAAAATATTGGCAACAGTATCATTATATTCTGATTTTATAGAAATAGTCAGAAGTAAAAAGTGAAAAAAAAAAAAATACGAAAAAATTATTAAAATTAAAAATAATTATTTTTGATATTTGTTCGCGAGATTTTTTTTTGAAAACGAAAATTGGCATAAGTAGCACTTTGTAAATATATAAACTAAGGAATTTCAATTACATATATATAAGTGGATATAATCATCGCAATTATATATTTACACATCGTGGGTCTATCGACTAATAGAGAAGTATTTTATCGATTACTTGTATGTCGTATGAATATCGATACTTGTGCTATTTTTAAAACGGCACCGTATAGTGATTTGTATTTTTTGATATGTCTTTTGTTCGGAAATATGATACACATATAATATTCGTTTCAAAGCGAAGTGATCTTTTTCTGGGAAAATTTCTTAATATCAAAGCCGATAATAAATAAATACGTTAGAAGAGTTGTCGGAGTTAAAGTAGACACGCCTTCTATTCTCCTACAGAATATGATGATAGTGTTGTGCGCAAACTTACCAGATGAGAATCTTTTCCTTATTCATGCTAGAAGCAGATACGAAAAGCTTCCAAGATCCAGTGATACTCTCGCTAACTAAAGCTACCGGTTAAAAGAAAAAACAGAACAAGAAAGAAGAAAAGAGGAAGGGATAAAAAAAAGAGAAAATCTGCGCTCGCCCAACCTGTTATTAGTTTTGGTAATGATGTTTGATTAAAGGATAGAGCAAGGAGCTCTATATCCGATATATTAACCCTATTTTATACCGTACATGTGAGAGCAATCATATCTTTATGTAACTAGAAGTGCTGTGTATAGAGCTAGCCATAAAAATGAGAAATAATAGTTCGCTTTAGTAAACTTTGTATCACTTCTACTACGGGGTGCATTTGGTATATGCTGCTGACTTGAAATAGACAGAGTCGATTTTGAATGTACCGATTTTGCACGGTCTGAACCGATTTAAGCACATGTAGCGAATAAACTGCTTCTTCTTTTATCGGTCTGCCTGTCCGTCCATTTATCTGTCTAGCTATCCTATGTATATTTGTGTTTCACAGTCAGGTCGCAACTCACGAGGCACTTGATGGCATTTGATAAGCTGACATGTTTTAATCCAAAGGGGGACCTCGTTGAAAATTACTTCCACTACTAAGTCTACGAAAACGCGAAGTGATATGGTGTATTAAATAGTATTAATAGTCCTTGCGAATGATTTTTATAAAGAACTTTTGGATAATTATGAAGTTTGCAAGTATGGAGACCTCATTGAAAGCGCTTCAAGATTCGCGACTTAAATCTCTTGACATTCAACTTTACAACGTTCAGATCACAATTTAGAGAAAAATTACCAGCAGCAAATATTTGAAAAATCTGATGTACTCCTTATGACAGTTGCGAAAAGTATGGAGTAAGTCGTCGTTATATTCAAAATCCTACCAATCATCCGTTTGGCGAGCTTAGAAGAGCAATGGAAGAGTTCGCTCAACATGCGTAAAACTGGCTCTTCTCGCTAATTTTGTTCACTCTTAAAGGCTTTGTCCGGGCAGAAGAAAGACAAACGAGGAAGAAGAAAAAACAATTCCACTAAGGCGGTAGCTGTAGGTATTGTAAGACGAGGTCAACACGTTATGGTGTTCTTGAAGTTCTCGTTTGCAAGAATATGACCGTCTTTTGTTAGCCGGTACACCTAGAATGTATATAAATACGTATATATGTATGTGCGAGCGTATGTGTTTACGTTTGTATTTATGTGTGTTTGCATGTTCATGTGTATAAATTTGTCAACAAAGAATTTTTTTTTATTACTGATGGATATAATTTTTCATTAGTTTTAAATTTTCCTTTAAATTTTATCGGAACATATCTATCTATGAAGGGAATGTGAGATCAAATAATTTCTTTCGTGTTTATTTTTGGTTTTTTTGAATTATACTTGAGGTGAAAAAACTCAAGCGTACAGACGAAACCTTGACTTCTAATATCAATAAGAATAATAACAATAATATTTTTACAGTCATTATCTGTACAAAAAGTGAAAATGGCAGAGTTCGCCAGTCTTCGCTCGCTAATCGTAATACAAGCAAAATGTGGAAAATGCTTACATAAGCGAAATTTGTTTATGTCTCAATAGCAGTTGTTGAACATTCTATTTATGATCGAGAATTCGTACACAATTTGTTTTCGTTTCAGAAATTTGCAAACACATCTTTACACATATATATATATATATATATTATATATATATATACACATATATATATATTATATATATATATACACATATACATATATATATATATATACATATATATAATAACGATTATAATCCGCTGTTGACAAGTGACGACGGCGACAACGACGACATAGTAACACGATTGCGAAAATTTTTCAAAAAATAATAAATGCTAAATAATCAACGAAACAGAGGGAAGGTGTGTTTTCGGTAATAATTCGCTAAAAAAAACGGATGTGTTTGACATAAAACTTTTATTACTTTCCGGCACACAAACGTTGACGTTGAAATCATATCCGTAATTAAAAGCCCAACATTAACTGTTTAAAGTTTTATGTTTACTTGATTGAATTGTGTGTTCTTGCGCTCAAATTAAATTGATATTGTAACGGCTTTCTATCATTTACATATGAATCACATGAGTATAAATGGTTCGCAGACTCTTTAAAACAGTTTTAAACACGGTCGGACCGTCTGTCTCTCTTATGCCTCTTATTGTATAGGCGGTTTAAATACTTCTGATGCGTTAAAACAAGTCTAGACGTTTGTCTTTTATCGCGATGGCGAACCTTATTATTATTAATTGCATACCGCGACCTAGAAGAAGACCTATCGTACTCGCCTAGCCCTTCAGTTTTAGAACTGCCATCTTCCTTGGATCGCAGCGCCATACCGTGTCGGGCGTCGTAAAATGCTTGCCAAACACATGGTGTCTTATTTTTCAGATTGCCTCGCCTTTACATAGAAAAGGATGGGACGTCTAAGCCCACGCTTTCAACTTGGTACCTGATGGAACTATCACCCATGTAGAATCCCGTGATTAAACATAGCCCGCTTCTTCTTAGTTCTAGTATTTTATGTGCCATTCGGGAAGATATTATAAATCATACTGCCTCCTGTTTTCCTGCACATTGCTTCCCATTTCTTCTGTGCCTATTGCAATATCGGACTGTTAATATGGGTTCTTGGTATGGCACAGAAAGTTTCAGGATCGAACTAGGTCCCTCGGGCTCCGTTTCAAATTTCAAAGATTCTCAATTTTACAAATTATTCAGAATATATATGCTTATTCTCGCCTGGTTGGAATTTCTATACAAATTACTGAGAACATATATGCTTATTCTTTAAAGGCAGCAAATCTTATACGCTTATTCTCTAAAGGCAGCAAATTTCATACAAATACATGCAAAATTATCGAGAATTGTAAACAAACGTATTCTTCGTTCTAGGTTAGGCAGTCAGCCCATATTAGATGCACATCATTGCGCCTGCGCAGCTCATTCAGTGCTTGAAGGCGCTCCAATACAAGCCTAGATGTTATCATTCGGCCATTTACTGCTTCCTTAAGCATGCAGAGGCATATGCGCAAACTCCTGCTTGGAATATGGATATCCCATCCATATGGCCTTCTGAAAACTCGGGCCACAAACCCTAGCCCCAGTTTCGCGATTTTCTAATTTTGAACCAATTCCTTGTTTGCATCCTGGGTTCAAAAGCCTGCCCTTCTGGTCACTCTGCACCGATGGCGAAGCCTAACATTGGTATATGCTAATCTGCATATATGAAGTTTTAAATACTGTTATTACCGAAAGTATCAAAGTATTCCTCGTCTATATGCTACTATCTATATCCAATGTTCATTTCAAGTTGGTCGTCGAGAATTACCAGAGCTATTAAAGAACGTAAAAGAAAAATATTACTAGCTAGTTGTCACACGACTAATGCGGTTTTCGATTGATCTATATCGCAGAACTCACCCAAGGACATCTCAATTGTAAACAATTTTTATTTTCTCAATTGTATGGAACTTCTGTACAAATTATTGAGTGCGAATATATACGCTTATTCTCTCAGGTGGTTGGCTTTTTTACAAAGACCTGTTGAATGATTGAGAACGAATATGCGCTTATTCTCTAAAACGGCACAATACATGCAAAATTCTTGATAATTGTATACGCGATGACCTTTTTGGGATATGAAATCCTAGCGTCGTAAAGATGATGAGTGGAGCGACGAGGAGAAGTCAACTGTAAACAAAAAGAGAAACAATCTAAGACAAGCAGCCAGTGATCAGGACGATGAGGAAGAAATTTTAGCTCCCGTAAAGAAAGTTAATAAAAAATCCGGAAAAAAAAATTAAAAAAGATGACTGGAGTGATGAAGAGGAAGGTGAAGATGAGGAACCACAACAGCAGAGAAAAGCGAAGAAAAACGCGCGACGTAATATGAGTGATGATGATGATGATGTCGCTAAAAATGATGAGGATGAACAATCTATCACAACCAAGCCAGTGGCGAAAAAACAGCAGCAAAAAAAATCGAAAAGAAATAAAAAGAAAGATAATTTCAGTGAAGATGAAGACGATATTGGAAATATTTTAAAAAAAAGTACAAGAAGATGGCCGCCAAGACAATGACGAGGACGATGGCGAGGACGAAGACGAAGAAATGCCTATTATTACTCAGCTAGCTGCCAAGAAACAACAAAAGAAAATGCAGCAACAACAAAAAAATAGCAAATTTGAATTCAGCGATCATGAAGAAGAAGACGAAGAAGCTGAAATCCTTGAACAAGAATTAGCTAACTTGGAAATAGAAGAAAAACTAGCGTTAGACGAGAGCGATAAGAATGATTCAGTTTTAGAAAATCAACTAAATGAAGATAATGAGAGAAAGTTGATATCGGAAAAATCGGAGGATGAAAAAGAAAAACCAGCGGCTGAAACAGAAGAAGACAAGTTGAAGGAAAAGAAGCTCACGCATAAAGAAAAGAAAAAACAAAAGAAACAGCAGGAGTATGAAAAACAAATGGAAATGTTAACTAAAAAAGGCGGCTCTGGGCATTCTGAGCTAGACAGCAATTTTACTATGTCTCAAGTGCAGAAAAGTGCAGGCCAAAAAGCCCAACTTGAGCACGCTGTGGACATTAAAATTGAGAATTTTACCATACCAGCTAAAGGTAATGATCTGTTTGTTAATGCCAATTTACTAATCGCTCATGGCCGCCGTTATGGTCTGGTGGGTCCGAATGGACATAGAAAAACTACTTTGTTGCGTCATATAGCCATGCGTGCCTTCGCAATACCGCCCAGCATAGACGTTTTGTTATGCGAGCAAGAAGTTGTAGCAACAGACAAAACTGCTGTGGAAACCATTTTAGAGGCCGATGTTAAACGACGTGACTTATTAAATAAATGTCAAAAGTTGGAAGAGCAATTTGCGTCCGGAGATATGAGCATCCAAGAGGAATTGAATGATACTTTTAATGAATTAAAAGCAATTGGCGCTTACTCAGCTGAAGCCAGAGCACGTCGTATCCTTGCAGGTTTAGGTTTTAATGAAGAAATGCAAAATCGGGCCACTAACAAGTTTTCCGGCGGTTGGCGAATGTGCGTTTCTCTAGCAAGAGCTTTGTATCTTGAGCCCACTCTCTTAATGCTGGATGAGCCAACTAATCACTTAGATTTGAATGCTGTTATTTGGTTGGATAATTATCTGCAAGGTTGGAAAAAGACTTTTTTGGTCGTACAATAATTTTTTTGGTCGTATAATAAACTTTTTTGGTCGTACAATAATTTTTTTGGTCGTACAATAAATTTTTTGGTCGTATAATAAACTTTTTTAATCGTACAATAAATTTTTTGGTCGTACAATAAATTTTTTGGTCGTATAATAATTTTTTTGGTCGTACAATAAATTTTTTGGTCGTACAATAAATTTTTGTGGTAGAATAGCAGAATAATAACAGTGATCACGGTCGTGAATATGCCTGCCAATAGAATCCTTTTTTGACGCCCAGCTTTTGGCAATGTAGACAAATGTCATCAAAATACATGGCGATAACTGCGATCTTTTTGGATATAAGAGCATAAACAGACACTCCTAGCTCATTTACAATTCTGATCAGATGAAATGTTGCGGCTGGATATTACATAAGTTTATAAAGTCTATGTCCTTAATGGGCGGAAGCATGAAGAAAAGACAGTTTGCTAATAAGTCTCACAGGAGTCACAACCCTTTCTGATACAAAGAACGTTTAGAACTTGTCAGCATTTTTACTTAAGCATACGGGTTTGAAGGTTGCTTCTGTTACTGTATAAGGCCAATGTATTTTATTTTTGTGATTTCATAGGCAAAAAGCTTCCAAGTGAACGAAAGCTTTAAAATCTTTCAATACATGCAGGGATAAAAGGGCAAACTCTAGATTATTTTGTTTCCTGTGTCAGTAAACATTATTATCTGGCTTAATGAAGCTCATATTTTCTTTTTTTTCATTTAATTTGTTTACAATACAATCTACTCATATATATTTTTTACATTTCATTCATGTCATTATCTAGAATATTACGATTATAAACAAGTTTATATACAACAAACATAGTTATAGTTAGATATGACCAGAATAAACCACTTTAACAAGATATATCCACATATGTTAAGAATTTTAAGGCTATTAGCAACGTAAGTGCTAATCAGTCCCCTAACACCAACAAGAGATTAACTATAACTTAAGTTTCAAATGCGTATGCGAACAACAACAACGCATGCTGATTATATGAATATAACATAACAATATACATCAATCACGTTCTAGATATGATTAACTTGTTCAATATCCTTCAATATAGAAGGAATTGTGGAATTTCTTTCGAAGATTTTTATAATATTATTTAAAAAGCTTATAAAAACAAATGAGAAGAAGAGAGATTTCTCCTTATTGGAGCGAAAAATTTTCTTTTTGTGCTAAATATTTTTTTATGTTAAAGATTTTCTATTGCATATGTTTAGGCTATAGTGGCATTATTGGTTTGAAAAAAGGAAAGGTCTTCCTTATTCATATCTTTTAATAAAGTTAAAGATAATTAATAATTGTCTCCAAAATGTATGTTATAAATATATTTCCCGTTTTATAAACATTAATTTATTTCATTACTAGCATGCGATAAAAAGAAGTAAAACTGCTACTTATAGATAAGAAACACTGTCTTCCATACATTTACTTTGATGACACAGGTCTTTTTTATTGCATGTTACTTTTTCATTTTGTTATACATAAATGCTTCTTTGGCACATTTTCATAAAAAAACATTTGTCCCTACGTTTCTCTGCAATTTTGCTGCTAATTATCTTTTATAATAATTAATAATAGTTGTCATAACAGTTTAAGTCGACGACAATTTATCGATCATTTTCAAGGTTGAAAGTGCATTTTTATTCTCATCTAAAGAAAAAGCCAATTACTTTAATTATAAATGTGTGCAAATGAATTGAAAATGGATTGAAGTTTTTTTCGGGTTTACCACTTACCTACGTGGGATAACGATGAAAGATCTGAATCTGTAATAAAAATTTATATGAAGATGAAAATGAAATGAAGTAAACTTGTAGAGTTTGAATTTGGGAAATCATTTGTATTTATCATATGTATGTATGTATCTATCTAGAAATACTTACGAATGTAAGTAATTCTAGCATAGATTTGTGCCCTAATTAACAATTGGAAAATTTATTTCAATTTTTAAAACCATTCACATGTGATACATACCGCTTTCATTATTACTTAATTGACTAATGTAATTTCCGCTTACGTCACTCCCATCTCCATCTCCGAGTACTGAAAAACAAAAAGAAGACAATTTGTTCATATAAAGAAAGTCGAAGTAGAAATAAAAAAAGAAAAAAAAACGTTTAATAAGAATAAAATAAAAAATTTGTTAAAGAAAAATGTAATTCCTGATCATATCAATTGTAAGGAAAACCAAAACCGGAAAATTTTTATATATATGTAGTGGCTCTGCGAGCTACAAAATTTTGTTAAAGAAAAGAAAAAATTCTAAAACATATTCAATGGTGCCCACCGCAGCAAGACAATCTTTGTTTGGAATACAATCTAGTTTGGAATATTGCTGAAGGAGCTTTAGATGGCACAAGGGCATAAGCACAGTTAGGTATACCTATTCCCAAGACATACGGCAGAGGATCGTTGCTTGCGTCTATCTGTCGCATCCAAAGTCACTTTCTGTATCCCACCACTTAGCTATTCTATCATCTGTATGTCCGCCCGTTTCTTCGTCCCTTTGCCCGTACATTCTTCCATCTCTTTCGTTTCCGCTGTCGTTCCATTCGTCTGATGCACTCGTTTATTTTCCTGCCTACTTATCTCTGCATCATTTAAAGTGTTCATGCGTCCATTCTTCCAGGCATCCTCTTATCTAAACTTTTTTGTTAAAGAGCAGTTTCGTGTTTCTTTTTATTAACAGAACATTGATTCGACAGCCTAAATTTTAATCAAATCGAAATGCAAACGAAAAGCTAAAAATGAAAACTGAAATAATTCGTATGAAAATGTGTTTGATTTCTTTTGGAAAATTATTTCAGATAAATTTGTTCAGATTTTATGACGTATACGTAATAAAAATTCTTTTGTAAAAATTTAGTTCAACTTGTTTTTTCGTTTTGCTTTGTTTATGCTAAAGAGTAATTGAGGTAACTTAGCGAAAGTAAACGCAAGTAAAGTAAAAACTCAAGGTCATTGGAAAATTGCTCTTCTATGTGCGAATGTATGTATTTGGTTTTAAGAGTACGGCTTAAGGTTTTATGCGTGTGAAAAAGGCAACTACAAAGCTAACCATGAACTCCACGTTTCCCTGCCCGGCTTCCATTGGAAGTTCAGAAACTTTTCTATATATCAAGCTGCGCGTGCATTCAATAAGATTTTGAACGAAATTAAATATTCATGACAACCGGTAGTAATACTTATTATTATTCGCATTATCACGTGCGAATCTCAAGTATTGTGTATAATAATTTCAGTTTTCCGCAAGCGCATGAATGAATGAATTCTTGTTTCACACACTGCACATTAGAGTAAAAAGAAACAAGAAAAAAAAAATAAATAAATAACGAAAATTTCAGTTTACTTCCTTCATTCTAAACTATCAAAAACGGTCTGTGAGTTTTGTTTTGATTGCACCTTAAGTCATTGTTGGCACCATTCTCAACTTTGATAGTATTCGTTTCATCGTTACATTTGATGTGAAATGAAATGTACAAAACAATTGCTAAAGAGGACGTACGCTGACTTATAATTCTATGCTGAATGCTACATGTTGTCTTGCGAAAATTTACTTACGAGGCATATACATGACTGTATGTTTATTTATTGCATTAAGTGTCAATGTTAACAATAAAGTTATTACAGCGCCTTTCTCTTAGAACACTGTCTGTTTGGCTATTCGGAATGTTTTCATTTTCAAGATCTGATCGGAACCATGATTACATTTGATATCGAACTTCCACCAGTATACAGTATTACAGTATATATATATATATAGTTATATATTTTGTACTGGAATATATTGTACTATGCTAGAGTATAGTATATATACTCTATAATGTCATATACTAATGTGGTATATTATAGTATACTGTACTATACTATACTATACTATACTTGCACCCATTTTTTGCTAACACCAAATTTCAAAATATTCTTAAAAATAATTCCCGAAAGTCTCAAATTTGGCTGTTATTCCATATCCATTTTTCGCTAACATACCAAATTTCAAAAAATCGCTAAAAATAGTTCCCGAAAGAAAAGTTTACATTTTTTTTCTGCATTTGATAGGTACTTTTATATAAATTCACGTGGTATAGGTGAACATAGGCGATATTTTCTAGTTTGGCCCCACTAGAGTCTCAAATTTGCATGTTCTTCTATATCTATGTTTCGCTGACATACCAAATTTCAAAATTCTCTGCTGACAGGGTTCCTTTCCTTGGAGAATCGTCGAGGGTATCGCAAGAAGTTTGCATACGGACTTCCTCACCATGTTGTCAGTTACTTTGGAGGTCTACTTCGCAACCAGTAGGTTGTAGAACATCTAAAGATAGTGCAATGTGATGGGTGCCTGGCCTGAAGTGGATTGATTACTTCCGCTATAATATACAATACAATAAACCCAACGGGGAAAGTTGTCGCGGCGGCCTTTAGGGGGAGGGGGCAATTGCATTCTGACGAAACTTTGACGGAAGCTGGTAAATGTTGCAATTCAACCATTTTGTGAGTTCTTCGGGAAGTATTTGTGGCCAAATGCGGGGCATTAAATAGCGAGAGATGCTGGATAGGCCTCTCTCTCTATCCAGAGAGGGATGTTTGGGCCATACACAAATTTTCAATCTGCCACCCAGTGCTTGGAATAGGCCCTCTCTCCTGCAGGATTGTCGTGCAAGGTGCTTTGTTTTAAAACAATTTCGAATATTCTGTGAATGTTTCTTATCAATTTTTTTTTATGTTTCTATGCATTTTTCCATTGCCACTCCCCACAAATATACATTGTGACTTCGCTTTACTCTTCTTTTTCATAATTCACAAGTTGGATTATGTTGATTGCACGCGGATATGAGTCGGATTCTCCCAATTGTCCATAGAGGAAGAACGTGGGATATTTTTTACACAATTTAGTTTGGTTTTCCAATATATTTAATTAACTAAATTACAGTAAGCACGAAATAAATTCTTAAGTGAATTCTGAAAAGAATATTTTAATATTGTCTATTTCACTTTTCAGATAACTTTTTTTACACGAATTTTTTTGGAATGTGTCTACCGCACAAAAAGAGAATAAGACATATATATATACATACATGTATATACAAAAAATGTTAAATGACTCCAACAAGAAAAAGTGTTTACAAAAGCGCATTGGCTAAAGCTCCAAAGCCTTTTGTGAAGAGAGATTTCTATAATAGTAATAGGAAAAACTGGGCTTGAACTACTTCCAATAATAAAGAATGAAGCGCGTATCGAAAATTTCCTTCAAGGCTTTTAGAGCTTTCTTATTTTTATTTTTACGGCTGCCGCCCGTTCAACAGTATCCATAGGACAGGAATTTTTAATCATTTTATGAACATGTACGTCCGTCCATCTATTCATGCAATTTTTGTAGATGCTACCAGACCTTCAACAATTGAGTGGAAAACCTAAAACCTAGTCTAGCTTAACCTAAACCTAGTAGCGAACTATTTTTTCAAATTGACAAGGTCTCACGAGCAGTTTAAAAAAGCGAATTTTATGTAAATTTTAACCTGAGCCATGTTTTAGCCCGATGGTAAAATTGACTCGAGAGGCCAATTGAAATCACCAACCTTACAATAACAATCACAGCTACAACGAACTACGCTCACGTCAACCGCTACAAGCACATCATAGTATTGTCAACAGTACACGAACAACGAGAAAGCAACAATAAGTCACCCGCAGCCAAGGGTCTGTGAACCAAATATAGCACCATGCTCTGCTATGGCAACAGGCTCTGCGCCATCAGCGACAACAGCGATCACCAACTCAACATCGCTAGTGTTAACGTAAACTGTTACCGCAACAACAAACCACGACAACAATGACAATAAAAGTCACAACAAGTACAATAAAGTCAACGCCCCAACAATCACAACTACTACAAACCACGCTCATGCCAACGGCATTGAGCACACCGCAATCTCGTCAACAGTCTACCAGTAGGTCAACACCAAGGAACGACAAGTCACCCACAGCCAAGGGCCTGTCAACCCAGATACGCCCATAGCGGCCAACGTTGGCACGATCCGTACCTCCCTGGCCAATGGTCCGGCGATTCAATGCCGGAAAGCCAAAGGTACAACAGAGCTGACGTGACTAACGGCCAACGATCCGACACCTCGATGTCGGAAAGCCGTACCAAGATGACAGCACCCTGGTCTGCTCCGGCAACAGGCTCTACGATCTAGGCTCTAACAGGCTCTGCAGCCACTTATCGACCCAACAATCATCATCAGCAGCAGAAAACGCGACTGCAGCAGCAAACAACAGCGCCACACCGAAGCCGTCACCGACCAGCCAATACCGGAGAGACGCATCATCAGCCATTTCCCTTTTCTCCGAAGAACGGAGGATCTGTGAGGACCCAAAGTTGTCTCTCGTTTTGGCCTCACGGGTTTTCCGTCTCTGGCTGGGGAGAGAGGAGTGCTAGAGAGTAAGATAGAATAAGAATAGAATAGGCATAGCGTAAGAATAGGATAGGCCTTGCATAAGAGTAGGATAGACATAGGGAATAAGAATAGGTTAGGAATAGAATAGCATAGATTAAAATAGAATAGGAATAGATTAAGCGTAGGCTAAGGATAGGTTAAGAGTAAGATATAAAAATAGGTTGAGTTAGTCGAGCTTGAGTCGTCGACGCGAGTAGTCAAGTTTTAGCCTCCGAACAAGCAAGTCGAGTTTCAGCGAGAAGAAATAAAGTAAAGTGAAGTTTATTGAAACAAAGAGTCCCTGCGAATCAAAAAATATTCTTGTGTGTTTCTATTTGCCTGGGCCGCTGAGCTGCTCCAGCCTTGAGGAAAGGGACGAAAACGTCCTCACAATATATATATATATATATGTAGCAACTTCACAGTGTGTATAATATGTACTTGTGTGTCGTTTATAAAGCGATCAATTAACTCGAAAATAAATAAAATAATAAAACGATACCGAAAAGACCGCAAGTATTGCACACTTCCTCATGTTTTGTCTTTTTCTCGCACATCCAGGCAAACATACCTTGTACACATATGCACGAACAGTCATTTTATTGT